TGCGTGTTGTGAACTTTCTATATACTCCCTTTCTTAGTATCCCTCTCCCCCTCAACCCTCTTCTTTTTTTTTTGGACAAAATGTCTTGCACCTTTCACTTTTTTATTTCTCTCTAATTTAATCCCTGTATATTGATGTAACGAGAGCGTTGCAGCTCAAAATTTTTTTTTGAAATTCTGCACTTTCGAACACAATCCGGCGCCAACTTTTCTAGGCTCGCACTCGCTAGAAGGTTTGCCCGTAAAAGCGCTTCAGCACTGGTGAGCAGTCCGGTAACTACCGCTCGTGGTAGCCAATGAAGCCTTGCTTGCAAGATATAGTTTTCTGTGTAATAACAGCTGTTCGATTATTTAAGTTGCGCAATGCCCAACGACAGCTCTTGTGCAAGCCGAATGTAGCTGATGCAGCTCTTGATTTTGATCTTGATTGTTTCTGGAGCAAACTGGAGAAAAACAGTTCTCTCGTCGTATTTTTAGCTATCATTTTTCATAGGGTAAGACCTATTTAGATCAATTCAAATACTGTATGCATGCATGTATGCATGTATGCATGTATGTATGTATGTATGTATGTATGTATGTATGTATGTATGTATGTATGTATGTATGTATGTATGTATGTATGTATGTATGTATGTATGTATGTATGTACGCATGTATGTATGTATGTATGTATGTACGCATGTATGTATGTATGTATGTATGTACGCATGTATGTATGTACGCATGTATGTATGTACGCATGTATGTATGTACGCGTGTATGTATGTACGCGTGTATGTATGTATGTACGCGTGTATGTATGTATGTATGTATGTATGTATGTATGTATGTATGTATGTATGTATGTATGTATGTATGTATGTATGTATGTATGCATGTATGTATGTATGCATGTATGTATGTATGCATGTATGCATGCATGTATGTATGCATGTATGCATGCATGTATGCATGTATGCATGCATGTATGCATGTATGCATGTATGTATGTATGTATGTATGTATGTATGTATGTATGTATGTATGTATGTATGTATGTATGTATGTCATTGGAGAAAGGCACAACGTCCACGCGCTTTTGAAAAGGAGTGTTATAATATTTCAACTAACGCTCTTCCCCAAGTAACGCTGTGGGTTAGCCTACCCAGTATTCGTATTGGTCCCCTGTTTTGGGGGTTATTAAGCAGACCACCATCCCCTCGCCCAAAATATTGAATATAGCTGCGTAGAGCGTACTTCAAGCATTTACGTTTCAGGTTACTTCAAAGCTCTAATTTTATGCCGTGCAATATCGACGCAATCTTAATGACCAATCATTTTTTTAATTGGTAACCATGAATACTCATTATCGATCAGCATTAGGCCCGTTCTCAATGACACAATGCACCGCTTAGGTGCAACGTTTTGTGATGCCTCGCCGAAAGATTGCATAAATATACGTCTCAAAAGCACTCTACGCATCGTAAACAAGCACACACAAGAGGAGAGAAGGACGTGTCCCTCTTATTTTCGAAACTCCCAATTAATACCGGCTTAGTTCGGATAGCTGTCAGATGAATGAAATCGTTGAGCTGCTTTGATGAAACTTGCCAGGGATTGAGCGTAGCCTTAGAATGCTAGAAAGAGTTGCGATCTTTGGAAGCGTGTTTTCGTTCGGCAAAAAAAAGAAAGATAAACATTGAAAAAGAAAAAAAAAAGATCATCGTGTACGTCGACTGCTTAATTTCATCGGCTAGCAAACAGCGCGCTGATGCTTTGAGAGCCACGAACGCCATGCGGTGCGATATAGGCGCGGCACAGCGTTTTGACAAGGAAAACGCTGTGTTTTCGCCATAACAAATGCACGCAAGCGAGATAAGGATTACTCTTGGGGAGCCGATACAAACTCTTCGAAGAGGGTAAACTGTTTTTAAAGAGTCACGACTGAAGCACGTCAACATCATTAGCATCGTTATTGAATATAATAATAATAATAATAATAATAATAATAATAATAATAATAATAATAATAATAATAATAATAATAATAATAATAATAATAATAATAATAATAATAATAATAATAATAATAATAATACGTTTTCAGTACATTATTATTATTATTATTATTATTATTATTATTATTATTATTATTATTATTATTATTATTATTATTATTATTATTATTATTATTATTATTATTATTGGTAAAGTTGATTGACCAGTCGGTATCGCGGGAAATGCTTTCGTAGACTACCCGCAAACGCTCGACTAACGAGGTTTCAAACCAGAAGCGTGCTTTGCCTCATGCATGCTCTGTGAGTGGAGAAGCCAACTTCATCGACTTGTTCATTATTGATATGTGATATGTGAGGTTTAACGTCCCAAAACCACCATATGATTATGAGAGGCGCCTTAGTGGAGGGCTCCGAAAATTTCGACCACTTGGGGTTCTTTAACGTGCACCCAAATCTGAGCACACGGGCCTACAACGTTTCCGCCTCCATCGAAAATGCAGCCGCCACAGCCGGGGTTCGATCCCGCGATCTGCGGGTCAGCAGCAGAGTACCTTAGCCACTAGACCATTGCGGCGGGGCAACTGGTTCACGCTTAGGGTTGTCCGTACTCCACCCATTAGGCTCTGGCTCAGCGTCATTGACAACGCGCCCTTTTCACGTTACTCTGTAGCCGTAATTAAGGAAAAGGCCAAGAGCGCAGGTTTTAAAACATATTTAGAGCACGCGAGCACCACAACGACTAAGTTAATGAGCAGCTTGAGGTGTCACTCGGTACAACTCGCTGCACTGCTCTCGCGACGAATTTTCGTTGAAGATCCCCTTCTCATGGGGTATTTAGGGCCTTCTCCTTGAATATTACCTAGTCAGCCTAAAAAACACAGATAACAAGCGCGTTATCATCTCGGCGCAATTAGTGACGCCATCAGTCGGTTCAATTGACGTCACGAGGATATAGGCTCTCTATTGGTGCATATGCAATGTATATCAGTCTCAAACTTTCTCCTACATTGCTTTGCCGCACAATCATTCTGTCCTGTCTGGCAGTACTATCGGACATGGTCGAGTGATCTCACTTCATTTTGTGTGTTTTCGATTGTGGAATAGGGGCATATATTCGACAAAAACAGCAAAATTCGTATTCTCTGTACGCTTAGTGATGACATTGTCCGCGTGTTTTATGAAGAAACCAGTGGCGAGGAGGAGACAGCAACTGTAAGAAGCGTATTGAAGGAGGAAAAAAAGAACCACGCCCTTTTTGAATTCAGAGTGCTTTATTAGTCCTTTTCTACTCATGTTCATCATTGCTATCAGCTTTGTATCGACTCAAATTTATACTGTAGTCAGTTCACAAGTATCTCGACGTAATGGCGTTCATGCAGCAGGTCAATATTTATGAATTAGGAGCATGGATTAGAAAGAAGGGGGGTGGGGGGGGGCATTACTTTTTGTTGCAATCTCTTTCACGAGAAGTTCTTGATAAAAATACGTCTTCGAGTAGCGTGTTTCATAGAAATCTACTTACTGGATTGGAAGCCCTGATAACTCGTATTCCAAAGTGTACGATGAAAGGAATGTCGTAGAGCGCCAATTATGTGAGATGTCGGCATTAAAGAGCATTGACCCGATGATCGAAAAACCAATTTTTACGCAAACGGAACCAGGAGTTCACTCACTCATGCTCAGGTAAAGCTGTGAAAGTGAATCTGAGTGAGTCCGGCGCAGTAATATGTTAGAGAGTTCAAATCTGAGAGCCCGTTCAGAAAAACGTTTAGGAGACTGCGTACTAGTGAGTTTGGCTGAGAAAAAAAGTAATGAGTCCGAGTCCTAGTTAGCCCGTAGAGCAAAATACGTATCTTCAGTGAGCTTGAGTGAGGTCCTGTATTTGGCTGATTTTTAGCCCCCTATAACTGCGACGCAGTTTGAAATACCACGTTGTCATCGTCTTATTTCCGCGTTGGTGCCTGGTAGCCTCATTTCTCGAGGTGGAGTCACGCAGGTACCACGTTTGATATATATGCCAAGCAAGCTGGACGTTTGGGACACCAGAAGTTGCCCGTGTACCTCGGACGGACAAAATACCCAAGGGCTATTTTGTACGTCCGAGGTAGCGCCGAAAGTTATGGGCGCTGTCCTCGAAGGAGCAAGCAGTAGGAAAACAGTAAAAGAGAGACATTAAAACAGAAAATAAATAATCGCAAAGCAGGTATAATTATCACTGGACGAAACCAGAAAATTATATCGGTTTTTCCAATCAAGAAACTCGCTAGGAGACGCTGCCTACGTCAGCGTTGCAAGGTGACCGAGGAAGGAGCGTAAGAGAGGAGAGGGCGAGGGGACGCGCATGCGCAATGGGGGTGTAAGCGCAACAGGGAGGGATGCCTGGAGGAGCGAGAGAGGGGAAGCGAGAGAGCGGAAGCGAGGGTAGGCTAGCAGACGCTGCCTGCGTCGGCGTTGCGAGGTGAGAGATAGGGAGGGGCTACGTACGCGCAATGGGGGTGTAAACACCGCGGGGAGGGATGCCTAGAGGAGAGAGGGAAATGGGGAGCGAGCGTAGGCTAGCAGACTCTGCCTGTGTCGGTAGAGCGAGGTGAAAGAGGGGGAGCATTGGAGAGGAGATAGAGGGGGGGGGGACGCCCATGCGCTGTAGGGTAGGCACGCCGCACACTGGATTGAGCTCCACCATAAGATGATTCGCATCTAAAAAGAGTAGATGGAACCCAAGACAAATACAAAAAAAAATAACAGAGAGCTCAGCTACTTCGTACGTAATGATTGTAGAAGAGGTACAAATACTTTCTTTTCAGTTGCTGTACACTTCTTCAGTGGTCAGTAGACGGTTGTGGCGTCATAAAATTCTTTTTGTGCCTGTGTCTGTATGTCCTGCCCTTTATCATAATGCAAGAGAATTACAGGCGAACCGATGCTCTGCAGTGTTTATGACTTTCCCGTGAAGTGGAATTGACTTTGATTTAATAAATGACAAATACCGAGGCACTTATACCTGTTGTAGGTCGCCGTCGATGCGCGAGGCGAGCGCCTTGTTGTCGTCCATCATGTTTCGGAACTTGGCCTGGGCGTCCACCAGTAGTCTGCGCATGAGCGCCATCGAGGACTGCAGCGCCACCTGCTGCTCATGGCCACCACGTACAAGCGTCGCACCCTCGCCTGTCGTCCGTGCTCCGGCCGCTGCCCTGTTGGTGCCCTGCACGGGGCGGTGCTTGCCCTGCTGTTGTGGTTCTTCCGACTGCAGGGGCCGCTGCTGTTGGTGTCCCTCGGCCAAGGCGTTGTCGTCCGGTGGTCCACCTCCGGGCGAGCTCAGAACGTAGCGCACGATCTGCTCGTTCAGGGAGTCCAGCGACTGGATGGCTGCAGAGAGTTAAAAAATGAGCTTACGTCATCTGTTGTGCATATCAAAGAGGGAGCGCAGAAAAAAAAAGGGTCCTAGTTTAACAGCGAAGGCAGAATAAGTTGTTCTCAACCAACGCAGGCGTACTTGGCGGCGATTATCTGCTTTCACTACAACCAAGTCGAAAGGGGTAGTTAATGGTACCAACAACTCATTCATTGTTATTACGATAAGAAAGAGACAGAGAACAATTGATAATACAAGTGTGTCATCCGTTCTTTTTTGTTTTTATGTATGTGCACGGCTTGAATATCAAGGTATACTAAGTGGCCCAAACAAGTACGAAAAAAAACCCCTAGTTTCACCGCAAGTGTGAAGCAAGGAATGTGATAGCAATATATTGTAATAATATACAAAGACCCGCTGGCAGCTAACTCTTTTCAATATCATATCGCATTACTCTACAATACGCTGCTACAAGACAATACGGACACCCCAGAAACAGATGTTCTCTCTGCACGGTCTTCATGTTTTGAGGGCAGCTCGTCGAATGGTGATAGCGTGCGCGTCAGTGATTGCGACTGCGCTCTTGGAATCAAAGCTGGTCGTTGCGGCATGGGCAAGATCCCTCCGTTACCGCGTACCTTCATGCTCGTTAAATGTGAGCGTGGCGTTTCCTCGTTCCTAGAGCACTCGACGGTAAGCCTCCCGAGGTTTCATGTTATCGCATATGCCCTCCGAGTGAGGGAGTAGGGTCGGCTCGTTCGATCTCTGCTTCAGCCGCGTTCGATTATCGGCCCCGCTCGCACGCGTTTGCACGCGGAGAGAGCGTACGATGCGCGGGAATATGTTATCAACTTGAACTTTATACGAAACATGGCGGCGATGCTGATGACAGAAACTCGTCCAGAGTAACTATATAATTGCTATTGCAATAAAAATGTCACCCAACGTGAGAGGAGCCCACCGCGCGCTAGTCACGTCTCTAACGACGGTTAATAAGCTTTCACCAGCCAACCGTATTTGATAATTATAATTATTTAGACCTAAATACAATGATAGTTGAATTTATGGAAGATTTCATCGCTCACTGCTATGCTTTCTGCAGAGATAAAGTTCGATTTGAAACTTTGCAGATTTGACACTGTATTTTACTATGCCTAGTGTCAAAAGATTAAATGTTGTAAATAATAACATTCACCACCAGCAATATACAATATATCTGGTTAGATGTATATGACTACCGTCAGTTTTTCACGCACTTTTCTTTTTTTTTCACTGGCGGAAATGCATTAAAGCATGACAGGTGCTTCCACAGGCAACGCTGCATACGAGTCCTTCGCACGGTGCCCTAACACCAGTGTGTGCGATACGGCGACGCAATACGCGATAAGAACGCTTGTGTGTATTTATTGCTGTAGCGAATTCAAGACAGAACGCAGTGAAACACACATAGTACACATAAAAAGCGGTATGCACGGTAGTCACACATCAACACAGTAGTCACACAGTAGTCACACAGTAGTCACACAGTAGGCACACTTACACAGATACACAGTAGCGCTGTGTATGTGTGTCTTGTGCATATCGCTTTCTTGGATACCAAGCATATAAAACGTCGCCTCGGTTCGTAATCGAAGCGTGCTACAGCGCTGAATTACCGCGACGTTATGTGTAACGTACACACAACGCAGCACAATACACGTTGTGGTTCACCTAGCGCCAGCGTTGTGTGCCACAGTACGCGATGCTCGCGCTATACGCATTTCTGCAGCCCTTTCAACCACTGTAGTCGTGCGTACAGACAAAACGAAAACAATTGAAAAGTGTGTTTAGAGAAGTTTATTGCGACATTAGTTCCTGCGAATGCTGAGGCACACTGATGGCACAATATCTTTAGGTCATCTATGAAAGGAAATTTTACAGCATACGTGGCATGTGCAGAGTCTGAAAGAAAGGAATAATATAAATTATCAAGAAATAAAAAGAAATAGTTAAATAAAAGTAAGTATAATGAGTAAGTGTCATAGACGACATATATAAACCACAGAGATGCGATGTCTGTGTCGTTTCTGGTAAGCCTAACCATATTTTAAAGGTGCCATAAACCAGAACAGATGGTTTATGCACTTAAGATTGTCACTTGCGTACACTTATGCTTATAATAAAACCTAGGCTAATTGGAGTCGACGCTGCGAGACGGTTAGACTGTCCAGGGGGTGCGTTTAGAGAAATGTTCAAAATACGCAGTACTATGCACTACAGGAGACCGCTTAAATGGCCTTTTCATGCCAGAACTTTTGTTTTCGAACAAAAATAATGGAGACAATTTTTTGTGATATGCAATGCAAAGTACGGAAAATCTTGACAGCTACAGTCAGTTTGGAATAAGTGGGTAACGATATTTAGTACTAAGTATTCTACTATGAGAGAGCCAAAAGCCGTTCAGTGGGCATCACGCTTGATGAGGCTCTATTGATAAAAATTACGCCATGAACAAGCTCACGATGGTTAACAGTCTGATTGTACAATATTGGGCAGTCATCGACACGTCTTGCGAAGGCAGGTTATTCAAATAATACTTCATACTGCTGACCGTTGAACATATGCGCGACCATCTAAATGACCCTGGTTTTTTAAAGAAATTTATCCAAATATCAAACTTCACCCTCGGTAATGCTATCTCTAAAAGCCATTCCTTGAGAACTATGGTTACATCAAAGCATTGTTAAATACCTAAACTATGCCAAAGGACCCCTGACACCAAATTTGGAAACTTGACGTGTTCTTTGACATTTCTCCATGCGGGAGCACCCCTGGCCGATTATTGAAGGCTAACTGCAACAAAGTTTACTTGGGCGCAAACGGCCATAAATGCGTAGTATACTGTATATACGGTAAGTTACGATAACGACAGTGAAAAAATCTTGCAGCCTCGTATTTAATTTATAATCGGTGCTCTAATTTCCCGCAAGCAGACGACGCGGAGCTATGGCGGTGTGCCCAGGCAAATCGGGCAGGACCGCATATGACGAACCCTACAGAATGTCATCGCGTCGCTCCTAATCAGCAATCCTTCCTGTATCTGAATCGTTCCCTGCATTTGTGCTGCCAATAGTGCTGCCTTGACACCGCCTAAAGACAGCGCGTTCGAAACGCATTCGTGCTTCATTGATGTCGATGGCAAGTCAAGTTCAAGTCAAGCAGCTTTTCTGAACACGGGAGTCGAACCAAGGAGGATTAAAGAAAAATTGCTGGAGTGGGAGCTCCCGCATCACCTTGCCAGCAGAAGTGAAGCCAGCTTTTCTCACTGCCAAGATGGCGGAGACATGCCCTTTTTTTCTGGTAGCACCCACTTAAAGATCAAGCGGCTTCGGTGTGTTAATGCAAATGCTACGTTATTTTTATTTTAAAGATAGCTGTCCCGGACAAAATAACACACAGAAACGAGCATGGTGACTGAATCTCCAAAGAATTTCGCCTCCAATTAGAGGCTTACTACGGAAAATCAGTAACACCAACACGCACTTGGAGCACTGTGTGACCTGAAAAGTTTGCACATTAAACTCGCCGGGAATGCAAGGGAAACACTCCGTTTTTAATCGCTGAACGGTGATACTTTATCATGCCCCCAGTAAGATGGCCGCCGAAGACGCCGTCTCGCCATAGGCACGGCTTCACTCCTGGGCAATCATTTCCACTCCAGCAATATAAAAAAAAATATCCTCCTTGGGTGAAACATTGCAAACCCACTAGTGCGAATCCTGGACCAGCGTTTGATAAGAGGCAGGTTCACGCAGCTGTCTTAAGTTAACAAAGAAAACACACACACACTAAGAGGTGCGTCCGTGATGTACATGCTCGAGGAGAGCGGAGCGGACGATTTTTCTGTCGTTCACGTTCCGTCCGGTCAGCCGTAATGGCGTCGTTTTTTTCTAGTTTTGATCTCAAAAACACCGTTGTTTGCAAGCTTTTTTTATAGGGGCGAAGCTTTAGGGGCAAATCTGAGCACACGGGCCTACAGCATTTTCACCTCTACCGAAAATGCAGCCACCGCAGCCAGGATTCGACTCCGCAACTTGCGGGTCAGCAACCGAGTACCTTAGCCACTATAGACCGCCGCAACGGGGTGGTGGAAAACACTTCTCTTTAATGTCACTTCGAAGTCTTTTCTGGTTACAAAAAAAGAAAAACGCTCCTATATCAAAGGAGAAAGAATCGAATTATCGGAGACTCCAGGAGCTGCAGTTTAGTGCAGTCCCCGTGCGTACACAAAGGGAAGCCCGGTTGAGCGTAAATTCCCGCGATGACCGCCGCCGAAGCGACGCGCAATCAGACCACGCGACACGCACGATTGACCTATTTTCGCCGCGCTTTTACGCGCCTTTTACGATCCACCGCGCGCGCTAGCGTGCCCCCTTCAGTCCAGCGCCCCAGCACTCAGTATACTATCCATGGATGGGCATCGGCCCATCGAGCAGCACACGGACTAAAGCCACGCGCAAACCGCGAAGGGCTTCCCCGAGGAGAAGAGCGAGCTCGCCGCGCAGCGATACGGCAAATAAAACGCCGATACACCGAACCCCACCGAAGAACTTACAGAAGCCGTCCCTTCCGTACACACAACAGAGGCGCCACCACCGCCGTTTGGAACTGTATGGAGTGGGCAGATAACATAGTAGGGAACTTGGCGCTGCCAAAATCGATGCCGCAACAGTGCGCAGGCCCGTTATGTATGGAAGAGGTCGAGCTGATATGAGGAACCGTGCGGGTACCTTGAACACGTAGCGTGTTTTGAACTGTTCATTGTTTGTTTGTTCGTGCGCGATATCGGCGGGATGCGTTCGCGAAGAAGTGGTGCTATAAAAAGTAAAGAAAAAAAAAGCCTCGACAAAGAGTTGTATGCGTAGTCGAGTGAACGTGGCCTCTGTGTTTTCCGCCGATTGTATAACAGTGGTGGGTGATGTCGATTGGCGCATATTGGCGCATACTTTGAAACAAAGTGGTGAACAGTAGTTTC